GTGAAACTCAATTAAATACAGATAACATTGAAGCCAAAGTCAATTACTCCCCAGAGAGCATTGGAGCAACTGAGTTCAATGAGCCCTATGCCAATCCTATCTGTTCTGCCCATTTCCTTTTGCTCCTGAAGGCAAGGCTGGGCTGCTCTTGGGTTTTGTTGTCTTTGCATTGCTCTGAGTTGGGAGTTAACTTCATTGTGGAATGTTGACAAACAGCTTCCCTTTCATCGCTGCAGGAGCATCTCTCAGACAGCAGTGAAAGGGGCACTTCTGCATGCTCTCCGCTTACAAAATTGGGCAGTGTCCCTAGCACTGAGTGGAATAGCTTCTCACCGACCACCGGTGTACACATTTGGCTGGAGGTTTAGGGCATGTTATTCTAATTTATATTACACGTTTACTAAAATTTAATGTGCCACCAAGTGTAATGCACACTTCAATTTTAAAGGTGTGAACTACAAAAAAGAAAGAAAGAAAGAAAGAAAGAAAGAAAGAAAGAAAGAAAGAAAGAAAGAAAGAAAGAAAGAAGGAAGGAAAGAAAGAAAGAGAAAAAAATATTAATATTGTGCCACTATACAGCCATGGGAAGATAAACTTAATAGGAAAACACTGATTTTGTGAATGTATTGTTATGAGTTGGAAAGGTCCTCATGGGCCAACATGTCTAAATGGCTGCTTAATGCAGTACCTTCATCTAAAGTATGGAGGACCTCCTTGCAGCAACACCAGAGGCACTCCAAGTGGCCAGATACTGGTCAAAGGACATTTAATTAACTACCAAGTTTGCAAACTTTGTGTCTTGTCTGTTTGTTTGGCTAAAAATGTAATACAAATGTCTGGTTGCTCCTGACACGATAAATAAAATAAATAAATAAATCTAAAGTATTCCAGCATGAAGCTGTCCAGATGTTTTCTGTAGATGTCGAGGAGACCCCAAAACAGCTCAAGGGAATTGATTCCATGCAACACACTCCTAACTAATCAATCCTAAGAATACATAGGAATTTTAGTAGTCCAATTCTCTCTAGTCATTTCAGAGATCCTCAGCTCAGATCCCAAACCTAGTTTTGGAGACAGGTTGAGGTTCCTCTGTCTTCCTCCATTTAGGGGTTCGTGTCTTTCAGGCACTGGGAAGACATTTCAGTGTATTAGGCTTCCTCAAAACATGGATTTGTGATTTGAACAACCATCTTTTTAAGCTAACAAGAGAACCTTCTGGTTGATTTCAAACACTACTAACTCCCAAGCTAAATACTATACCATGCTTATTTGGTAAAAACAACAATGATCCACAGACACATATTTCCCATCACAGAGATTTTATTAAAGGTTTGATAATTTTAGGCCAGTGTTTCCCAAACTGATGAGTCAAGGCTCATCAGTAGACCCTCCATTTTTGAACAGTAAATGCCTTTGGTGAAAGCCTACATTGTGAATATTGCCTATAACTAGACACATGCAACGAGGCTACTTTAAATGAAATTCTCCATTCCCCCCTCAGTCCCTTGAAAAGGCTACGCAAGGAACTGGGGAACTCTGTGGAACAGAGTCAGGTGTGCTGCAGGGGAAGATAAGGTACCCTAAACATTGGATGGAAGCAGCTTTCTTCAATCCTCAGAAGGCAGATCAGGCACTTAGCAGTAGCTATTTCATCCCCATTTTCAGCAACAATGATGATTTTGCATGACTATATGGACTCTACCCACAGCACACATCTGAATAGGGTAGAAGTTGTTTACTGCTTGCTTCTTGCCGAGAAGTAAAATAGGCACAGCCAATTCCCCTCAAAGAAAGCCACACTCACAAAAGAAAGCTGTACCAGCACTCTTTGCAGTCCTGTCCTAGCTACTGCACTGCAAATACCATTTTCCAAAGGCCTGTGGAAACTTGACTTATCAGTTGTGTTTCTTACACAAACACAGATGTTTGCTGAGCAGAAGAATTCAGAGTTGTTGAAAAACATTAGAAATCTCAGCTTTAGCATAGCTTTCTAAAGGAGCTCACTTTGTGGTGTCCATTCTTCTCTCTTTCTAGCATCAACCAGAGCTTTTTATTTTTCCGTAATTGCAGATGTACCTGAATTATTTTGGTACTACTCAAGATCCTACATCAGAGGCTAGAATTCATAACCTTATTATGACATAGCAATGTTCTGCCACAACAAGAGCCAGTTTAAATAAACGTATTCATTGCTTGAAAGCAACAACAAAAACATGGCAGTGAGCAGTTTGCATCAACTCACAGAACCTTAGAATAGTGCCTTTCAATTGAATTAGCTGATGTTGTTAAATGCTGTGCAGTAAAGAGTGGGCAAATCTATGCATTATATGTAAATATATGAAACTAATGTCTTCTTATTCTTTTCGTAATGGAAAATACTTAACTGCGTATCAGCTATAAAAACCCATGGGGTGGCCATGGGCAAGCCTCTGTCTCATAGCCTCTGAGGAAGGCAATAGCAAACCTCCTTTGCATTCAACCAGAAGGTGCATAAGAACTCAGTAAGTAATAGTAGCTCTTCTGATGTTTTTAAAAAAACGAAACGAGTGCCCCCTTGTGACTGAATTCATTCTAACTGGAATCAACAGTCCTAACTAGTACTCAAAGGATCTCATCTGTTGCATGTTCTAAAGCAGATTTCCCCTACCAATTTGCCTAAAAATAACTTCTTAGAATATTAAACACTGTAGTTATGATGCTCTGAGAGATAAGTTCATCAAGCTAAAATCATTTGCCCTGTTGCTGGTGAACCTAGACAGCAAATATACCAAATGTGCCAGTAAGGAATGCTTGGAGCTGCAGTCCAACAACATTTGGAAGGGCACCCTGTCCTAAACAAGTAAGTCAAACAGTTGTGCTAAATACCTTAGATATACAAAGAACTATAATATCCACAGCTGCAAACTCACATTGCCAGTAGCCTTTGGTTTATGTTCAGTTCTATGTGGCTTCTCATTTACTGCGTATTTAGTGGGAAACTTGTGGCCCTGTAAATATTGGTGGACTAGCCCTATCCAGTACTCATAGTGGTGACAGGAGTTGCAGCTCAACATCTGGAAGGATAGATGTAGTACTCACTTTGGATGCTTAGTGTCTTCCAGAGAAATAACTTGCTTTTCACTTTGATTTAGTATTCATTGTATAGGTTGTGACTTCCTGCTTCAGAAAGATGGTGTAGAGGCAAGTTTTCTAGATTCCACATTCGAAAAGTGTCACAAGAAGATGAGATTCTTTCCTCCGGCTGGAGACAACCAGATTTTTTTAAAAATCCCAGCTGCTCTTTTGATTCTTTAAAAATTTGGTGCTGTATAGAGAGAACTGTGATGGCATGTATATATATTGTTGTCTGCCACTATGCAATTTTAAAAGAGGCTGACTATAAGGACCTTTTCACGCTATACAGTTATAGCATCGTGTTTCTACTTTAACTGCCAGGATTACATCCTTAAGCATCCCAGGGATTTTAGTCTGGTAAGGCCCCAGATGAGTACTCTGTCTGGAAATTTTCCCCCCTAAACTGCAAATTCCACAATTTTGATAAATGCAGTTAAAGAGGCATCACAGCATTGTAATTCTGTAGCGTGAAAAGGTCCTGGATACATATAACATTTCTTACTATACTAAAAATTGTGCATGAGACAAATTAATCATTTCCTTCTCCCTGCAAAGTTTTAGTTAGTGGGAAGAGAGGAAGACTATACTTTTGAGGATCCATTAGATACTGGCAGCCCCCGAGTTACAAACATCCATTAGATACGGACAGCCCCCGAGTTACAAACATCCATTTTACACCTAACTCCTAGTTACAAATGGGAGAAGGCAACTGCAAATGAGAATAAATCTACCTCAAGGGAAAGAAATTCACTCCTGTAGGTTCGAACTGGTCATTGACCGTAATAAAGTGAACTAAATAACACTCCTGTAGGAGTTATCATGGAAAAGGTGTCTCCACTGAAACTTTATAAACAATCCTTGTTCCTACAACACACAATTTTCAAAATCCAATTGGCACGGGGACAAAACCTAGCATATAATTCCATAATTTTAAAAAGTTGTAGATTTGAAAAGAAACGAGGGTTAGGTCTCTTGCCTAAAGAGCAAATACCCAACCTCTTCCAAAGCAGAGGAATGTTTGGCGAGGACTACCCAAGGAAAATAAAATTTAGCCCTGAATCTCTACATTTGATTTATGTGATTTTTTGGACATGTCTGTCTAGCTTTCCCATGGGGGGATGGGACCATTCAGGCCCAGAGCAGAGGAACAGAATGATCTACCTTAACTTCCTGCTCACACTGTTCCCCAAAGGAGAGCTGATTACTCACACAATTCCTCCCTCATCTTATTTTTACCAAAACCCTGTGCAATGATGATTCTTACAAAAGCAGATTCATATTACACTGGAACTAATGCTGGCAATCCAAACCTCTTGTCAACATGGCAATCCACATGAACTCCACTCCATGCAAACAGTTCACTGCTGGTTCAGTTAATAGTTCAGTCCATAAGACATCTGAAAGCTATTATTATGCCGAACGAGAAAGAATCGAGATTATAATTTATGACTGTACATCAAATTCCACTACCATACAAAAAGTATCCTGTCACTATATCCTACATGCCTTAGGACAGGGAAGCAGAAAGAAAACACAACCAGGTCTTGGGCATTCAAGAGCTGTGATGCTATACCTTCCCTCCTATGATGAATGTCATGGCAGGCAATGAGGAGACCAACTCAGGTCCGATTCATTAACCAGGGAAAGAGCAGCTGCAGACAGCTTTCCACATTCCCATTACCAGAAAATACACTTTCTTTAAAAGTACCCATTGGCCTATGAGCCGAAGAAATGGAAGCACACTTTGGCTGCACCCCCTAGTGTGTCCTTGTGCTATGCACATGCTGGTTTGTAAGTGGATCTGCAGGTACTTATTCTCAGTCAGAATCATACCATTATGGGGTCTAAATCTCCAGGAATAAATAAATATCAAGCAACACATCCAGTCTTTCAATAAAACACCTGTAATATGCCAATTCAGAAGTAAGAGAAGGAAAAACGAGCTTGCTTCAGTTTAGCAGCTTGGAAGACACATTTCAATATTTTCAACTTTTCTACAGGTTAATGTATGTTCCACTTTCTTGAAGCTGGCCTCATGTGCATGAAGACTGATAGGCTATTTGGATATTCTTGTCATATTCTCTGCAAGAAAATGAAAATAAACAGATATTAGGTGCCTCACAGATTTGTCAAAAATGTAAGCTGATAATTGTTGCTTTTTCTGGCTAGAGGGATGCTAAACAAGAGGACTGTCTCACACTAATTTGATTTTCATAGAATTGCTGTCTTTCAAGTTACATAATTTAGCTCCTGTCAACATGTTTGCCTTATTACAACACTTATACTTACCTCTAGTATCATTGTGATATATTCTGTGCCTTATAGCTGATCTAAGGAAGATATAGCTGCAATATAAGCTACACATTTATATTGTGATGAGATCAGCTAGAAGGCACAGAATTGCCAGACATTTTATATTTGTGTGGTTGTAGTGATAATAAAACTTTTCCAGAAACTTCTTGCTATACTGAGTCTACAGTCTGATAGAGCAAGAGGTTTTGACTGTTTGTTATCTGTTTTCTTAAAGAGTACACTCAGCAAATGTCCTGACATATGGAAAATTAAAATGAGAGGGACCGAAAAATAGCAATTTAAAAAAATAGATTCAAAATATTTTTGTGAACTTTTCAGTGCTACTGAATGAATCTGTATTTTTTACATAGGAGGAAAGGGATTTTGTGAGGATAAAGACTTTTAAGGCTATATTAGCAAAATATTACAAACAGAAATGGCTTCTCCGTGTACCATTTTGTGACTTTCATTCAATATATCATTCCACAGATCTAAACAACATTCCACCAACAGGATACCAGATAAAGTCCCACTTGCAAAACTAAGTCACAAATATGTATGGACTTTGATCAGGATCCAGCGTATGGCTGCAGAGCTGAATGGATGATGACTTTTGTGGGAGGCCAGAAGGACTTACAGGGAAGGCTGAAACGGTCTTATCTAAAATGATCACTGCAAGTGGGGAATCCATTAACAATCTAAGTACAGTGCAAGAATAGAGACACGGCCTACACTATTACTTCCCAGAGAAATTCATATATAGTAGTGACTGGTGGCTTCCATGTCAAAAGGGTACACCTGTCCAAGGTACTGAAACTATTCAGCACTTTATAGTTCCTTTCAAATTCAGAGTAAAACTCAGTATAGATTAACTGCCATGGTTGTCACACTTCTTGTACCATATAAAAGGGCAGCAACCCCCTGACTTTTCCAGCGCAATACCGGGAGTGAAGCGTTTATCTACTTTGGAGCGATCTTCCAGTATGACAAAAGCACTATAATGCTGTAGGTAGAGTGGTTGTTTGGATCAGTTTCCATTCCCTTTACTCTAGGTCAATTTTTACTTTTTCTTTTAATGTTCTAAGAAAGGCCTTCTTGTACATTATAGCTGCTCAAGAGGAGCTTTTTTTTTGCGGGGGGGGGGGGGGGGGGGGGGGGGGTGCTCAGTAGGCATACACAACTCCATCCTCCGTGGGTAAATCCATTTCACTGTCCTGTGAGTAGGCATGGGGGCATCAGGATTTAATTACTATTTCAGGAAATGGTTTTTTATTTCTTAAACCAATTAGTGTTGGGATTTTGTTCTCTCTGACAATGTGGGAATGAACTTGTTCAAGAATCACATAAATTACGCAAATTCTCCACAAGTGGATTTTTTGCACCATAATATTTTGAAACCTGGCACTGAACTAGCTGGTCTTCCTCCCTCATTTATTCCCAAAATTTAATGCTTTTCCTATGCATCTTGATTAGGAAATGATGAGAAGGGGACAACACAGTCAACAATTAATTATTTAATCAAGTATAAATACTCTGAGGACATTTTAGTGAGAGATGGAAATGCTTAAATTAACTGAAAGTCCTAGCTGACTATTTGTGAAGTTAAAACGTTTAAAGGTACACTATTAATTCATTTCAACTTACTTGTTTGACATACAGAGCATACACTCATTTGCATATGTTTCACCATCAGTCCCACATACTGGGTTAAAGTTCCGTGGGCATCCAGGCAACGAATACAAGTCACATCTGGGCTGGGAATGAACAGATTCACTGACATTTACTTAATACAGTAATTATTTTGATTTTTTTTTAAAAAGGATCTTACCACACATGCCCACAACACAAAAACCAATGTATAGCTTATAGAACTAAAGAGACCATGAGTGAATCTGTACAAAACTATGCCATATACCAAACCCATCTTATTATGGGTTCACTACAAGTTCAATTTGCATAAACAAAGTGAAGGCTGGTGAAAGAAAAGCATCTCTCCTGTTTTCAGGGAAGCTTTCAAACTGCATAATTCAAGTATTTTTCTTTATTTACTACATATTCACCTGGCTTGGTTTTATTTCACACATACATATGATTAGCTTTGAATTTAAAAAATCGATAACACATTAAACTATTATTGTGGTGTACGAAGCAATACCTATCAGCTCCATGTTATTTCTGCCTTTGGTACCAAAGTTCCTGTTAAGAAAGTGAAGACCAGGAACACAACTGCTTTGCTAACAGATGTATAACTGATTTATAATTGACTCTGCACATTTTTATGTGCTTCCCACCATTTAATATGTTCCATTACTAATTTCCATATTAATTTTTGAAGTTTCCAGATTTTGAAATGCACCTGTTTATCTTGCCCATATAGGCTTACAAGTATATAAAATCAGAGAATGTAAGTACGCAAAATACTCAAAATGAAACATGAAATGATAGCACTGAATCTTTTTCCTTACCAAAGTATTCAGTGTAAAGGTTCTCTATGGAATTAATAGCAAAATATGTTAAGACAATCACAGTTATGGTTACATTAGAAGTAATGAATGAATGAATACATTCTACTAACTATTATTTATCTATTTTTGCTCAACTGAAAAAAAGTACTCATGGTGGAAAAGTGAGTCATTCAGCTATCATTGGAATCCGCTAACGTTTAAACAAAAGAAAAGTGGACATCTTGGCTTATTTAACCAATGCCTGGTCCACAAAGCTATTTTCAAGGCTTTTTAAAAATCTGGCAATATTTATCCTACTATGAGAAATTGATTGAGAGATGAGTAAAACCTGAAAGCTTGGCTGCACTTCTGAATAGAAGCAGATTTCATTTCATTTGTGGTATGTACAGTTCTTCCATAGGATAAAAGGGACCTTAAGAGAAATCTGTGTTTGCTTATAGTTTCTGTTAATTGTTATAGATGTATAGCTAAGTGCATGCATAAAACAATGCATGGGAAGTTTTGCCTCTCAATAGACACCTTGCCTGCTGTCACATGATAGCTCATTTAAAAAAGTCAACAGATAATATTGTTTCAGGTAAGAGGTTAATCACATAACTAAATGTAATTTTATTTATTTCATACATTTGTACCCCATCCTTCTCACACACATCCGGGGGGGGGGGGGGGGGGACGACGGGACAACTCAGGGTGGCTTCACAACAAGCACTCATTAGAGTGCTAACCACAATCAGAAAACACATTTTAAAACAGTTCATTAAAATACATTACATTAAGAAACATTTGATTAAATTTAAAATCAGTGTCTGGGACAGTCCATTGTCATACATATCACATTGAGTCTTATTCCCAATTACTGCTGCTACTGTTCAACTAATTGGTCCCATAACCAGGTTTTGGGAGGGAGGTAGCCAATCTGATGTCACTGGGAAGAGAGTTTCACAGGTGAGGGGTCACCACTGAGAAGGCCCTGTTTCTCATCCCCCCAATACAGTTTGCAATGGTGGTGGGATTGAGAGTAGGGCCTCTTCAGCTGATCTTAAACTTTGTGATGGTTCGTAACAGGAGATACATTCGGACAGGTAATCTGGGCTGGAACTGTTCAGGGCTTTAAAGGTTAAGACAAGCACTTTGAATTGTACTCGGTAGCAGATCGGCAGCCAGTGGAGTAATTAGTAATTGAGAACTAATTCACTACGCCTCTTTTGACACAATGTAATCATACTAAATCTTCTTCCATATCAAAGTATTGAATTTAAAATTTCTTGTGGAATGACTAACAACACAGCATTATGTCAGGCAATTACAGTTAAAAGTACAACATTAGATGTAACAGATCTAATCAATTGATTAATTATTAAATTATTTTAATAAAACACATTGTCTTTAATCTTATGCCATGTGCATCTGGCAAGTGTCCAGAGTAAAGCTTCCTTCACCTTTTAACACAATGTAAAGAAACCTCTTGATCCTCTTTTGGTAGCATCATGCAACAAAACTTGAAAAATGTTCTGTGTTCCTGATTTGAAAGTATTCTTTCCTGTTTAACTGTGTTGTCCTTTCTTTGAAAGTAGTTGTTATCCTTCAGAAACTTCATTTTTGTGGCTGCCACAAACTTTGTTGAATTGGTTGAGACTTGATGAGATATTCACTGAAAAACTATAGCAAAATGTGCTGCAGAATGTCCCACAAAAACAAAGTTTTTGCAGTGTAATAAACATTGTCCATGCTTTTATGATATCTATCTATCTATTTATTTATTTATTTCAAACACATATATTCCGCCCTTCTTACCCCGCAGGGGACTCAGGGCGGAGCACATCATATATACGGCAAGCATTTAATAGAGTCAGTTAAGAAATAACATCTATAACCCAGGACAAAAACTGTGTTACATAGTGTAACTAAAAATGAATAAATACAATTATAAATAATATAAATTAATAAAACTTTATTTATACCCCACCACCATCTCCCCAAAGGGACTTGTGGTGACTCACAAAAGTACATGATAGCGCAAACATACAAAATACAACAAGTGCATAAACAACTGGCATAATAGCAATAACAAATAATATAATATCATAAAATCCTACTAGTTAAACATTCAATAAAATACAACAATGGCTGCGGATATAAAATAAACTATTCCAAAATGCGCTACAGGATGTCCCGTCAAAACAAAGTTCCTGGAGTTTAATAAACCTTTTCCATTTTTTAATGACAGAACCAATGAAAGAAATGACATTTATAGCCCAGGAGCAAAAATCATGTTACATAGTGAACATCGCAGCTCTACTTGAGACACAGGTCCCTTCCACACAGCTGAATAAAATCCCACATTGCCTGCTTTGAACTGGAATATATGGACTCAGATAACCCATTTCAAAGCACTGGACAGGGTGGACTCAGATAACCCATTTCAAAGCAGATATTGTAGGATTTTCTGCCTTGATATTCTGGGTTATATGGCGGTGTGGAAAGGGCCACAACAGCAGCAGCATCCCACTACTCACCTGAATAGTGCTTTCCCCAGGAAGAGGTGTCAACAGGAGTCCTGGGGAAGAAAGAAAAAAAGAAAGGAAAAAGGGAAAAACGACGTAACAGGTGACTTTTTTTCTGTTCCCAACGTCAAGGCTACCCTTTGCCCATTCACCCCAGTCACTGGGTACATTTACAATGCAAAATGGATGTAGTTTGATCCCACTTTAACCGCCATGGATCAATACTGATTTTTTTTTTTTACTTTGGTGAGGAACCAAAGCTCTTTGACAGAGAAGGCAACCTATACTGGAACAAACCAAAGGGAGCATACAACGCTCCTATTAAAAAAGCTTCATTGGCTGCCGATAAGTTGCCGAGCCAAATTCAAGGTGCAGGTCATGACTTATAAAGCCCTAAACAGTGCACGACTCCAGTTGTTTTGCCCACAGGTTCATCTAAACATGCAAGCCCCCTCACCACAACAAGGTGACAGTCCATCGAGAGGGTCTCTAGATGTAGGTGAACTACAACTCCCAAACTCAAGGTCAATGCCCAGCAAACACTTCCAGAATTTTCTGTTGGCTGTGGGAATCCTATGTGCCAAGTTTGACTCAATTCCATCGTTGTTGGGGTTCAGAATGCTCTTTGTATGTAAGTGAAATGTAAACCCCAGCAACTACAAATACAAAATGACAAAATCCATTTTTTGAGTGATGGTCACTCCTTGGGGTAGTAGGCGTCTTGTGTCCAAATTTGGTGCCAATTCGTGCAGTGGTTTTTGAGTTATGTTAATCCCACAAACGAACATTACATTTTTATTTATATAGATGGTGACAATTTTTATGCTTATATTGTTTAGTTAATCTTATGGTTATGTTGCTTACTCTGTATGTATTGATGATATTTGGAAACCGCTGAATCCCCTTGGGGAGATAGAGTGGTATATAAATAAAGTTTTATTATTATTATATAAGGCTAAAGACCCTGTCAAACTACATCTCCCTGAGACTCCACATCCCTGAACCATGGCAGCTCAAGAGGGGTCAAGCTGCAGCCCCCCAACTCCCAGAATTCCTGACTACTGAACAAGATGGCAAGGGCTTCTGGGAGTTGGAGGCTCAAATAGATGCAGGGTCGCAGTTGGGGGAGGCCTGTAGTAGGGAGAAAGCCTCCACCTCGTTGGCCTGCCCTACAGTTCTCCTGGCGTGAGGCCTAGCGGGTCTCTGGGCTCAAACGACGACCCTTTCACAAGCCGCAGCCTCGAGGACGCCTCCCTCTCTCTTTCCTTCTTTCCTCCCTCCCTCCCTTCACTCGTCCCTCTGCCTGGGGCCATAACTAGGGAGCGAACCTGCCATGGCCCACAGAAGAGGGCCCGCCACTCTCATCCTTAACAGCGGTGCGACGGCGGCGGTGGCGCGTGATATAGCACGCGCGAGGCGGGAAGGCCCCGCCCACTCGCTTCTTTGCGCCTTTCTCTTTCGCCCCGCCCCTTCGCCGCGCGCAACGCCTGCCGCAACCACGTGACCCGCCCCTCTGAACTTCTCCTGAAGCTGGATTTTTTGGTGGGGGGGGGGGGGGGGGGGGGGGGGGGGGGGGGGGGAGGGGGGAGGGGGGAGGGAGTGGCTCTTTTCATTCTTATTTCTTTCTTTCCCTCATATCTTTACTCCCATTTTTCTCCTTCCTTTCTTCCCTCCTTTATTGTTCCCCCCTCCCCTTTCCCTTCTTTTTCTCATGCTTTCTTTTCTCCCTTCCTTTCCTTCCCCTTTCTCCCTTCTCCAGCTCTGAGAGGGGTTATATCACAGGCCCCTTCCACACAGCTGTATCAAAACACATGTTTTCTGCTTTGAACTGGATTATATGGCAGTGTGGGATCAGATAACCCAGTTCAAAGCAGATATTGTGGGTTATCTGCCTTGGTATTCTGGGTTATATTTATTTATTTGCGACATTTATAGGCCGCCCTTCTCACCTCAGAGCAGCTTACAAGATATACATACATACAATATATTGTAAAATTGCAACAGCACAACAGAGAGGAAACAAACAAGGAAATGTAATCACCTCTCAACAAAAGTTTGCTCCAGGCATTGTCAGGCCATTATATGCTAATCAAGGTGGTCCGTTGAAGCATTCACACCTAGCTCCAGGAGACAAGAGTCCTTTGTCTCACCCTGGTCATTCCACAGATATATAAACCCACTGTCTTAGTTCCAACAGATCTCACTACCTCTGAGGATGCTTGCCATAGATGCAGGCGAAACGGCAGGAGAGATTGCCTCTAGACCATGGCCATATAGCCCAAAAAAACCTACAACAACCCAGTGATTCCAGCCATGAAAGCCTTTGACAATACAATATATTATATTATTAGCATAGTACAATATCAGTATTATATATTACTATATTGTACTATACCATGTACTATACATGTGTATGGTACTATACCCCGGTGGTGCAGTGGGTTAAAGCACTGAGCTGCTGAGCTTGTTGACCGAAAGGTCGTAGGTTCCAATCCGGGGAGTGGCGTGAGCTTCCGCTGTCAGCCCCAGCTTCTGCCAACCTAGCAGTTTGAAAATATGCAAATGTGAGTAGATCAATAGATACCGCTCCAGTGGGAAGGTAATGGTGCTCCATGCAGTCATGCTGGCCACATGACATTGGAGGCGTCTACAGACAATGTCGGCTCTTCAGCTTAGAAATGGAGATGAACACCAACCCCCAGAGTCAACTGGACTTTACCTTTACCTACTATACCATTATATTGTAATATTATCAGTAATATTACATGTAATATAAATATATATATATAATAATAATATATTATTATTAGCATTATATTGCATTACATTATAATATAAATATTATATGTATATACAATATATTATATTACATTATATTATATTTTTAGTATAACACAGGAAACAAGGTGAAACTGTCTTCTGCCCCCTTCTCTCTTCACTCTGGCCCAGAGCAACAGTTGGTGCTAGGTGGAGGGACCCCCAGCTGATGACATATGCAGGAGACAAGATTATTATTATTATTATTATTATTATTAAACTTTATTTGTACCCAGCTAGCGTCTCCCAAAAGACTCGATACAGCTTACAAAGGCCAAGGCCTCAACACACAATATAACAATACAAAACCTAAGGCAAATTAAAACAAGATGGAACTGTCCCCTCCCCCCCCCCTTATATGGCTTTGTGGAAGGTCCCACGGTGGCTCCCTTCCCCTCATACATAGGTCACTTTTATCTCCCAGTGACATCACAGGCCCCTTCCACACAGCTGAATAAAATCCTGCATTATCTGCTTTGAACTGGAAGATATGGCAGTGTGGACCCAGTTCATAGCAGATATTGTGGGATTTTCTGCCTTGATATTCTGGGTTATATGACTGTGGAAGGTCCCACAGAGGGCCACTTCACCTAGCAACAGCTTTTGTAGTTTAAACAGGCATGACTTTTATATACATCATCCACTCATTTCTGTACATAATGTAGTTTGGAATGGTAGACTTAGGCCCCAGCTGTACTGCCGTACTATGACTCAAGGCAGTTAACGGCAAAATTCAATGCTTACAATGTCATAAATACAATTAAAAACATAACATATAATAAAGACTAAACCAATCAATGAAATATAAATTCATAGTGTCTCCTTGTTAAAAATGTTTTCCGGACTCATTGTCTAGTTGTTCCATTTTCCTGTGTCAGTTATTCTGCATTTGCAAACACTTGTTCAAAAAGCCGCATCTTGACTTTTTTCCAGAATGTTAAAAGGGAGGTGGCCGATGTAATATCTACAGGGAGGGCATTCCACAGCTGAGGGGCCACCACTGAGAAGGCCCTGTCTCTCGTCTCTGCCAAACGTACTTGTGACAAAGGCAGTAATGAGAGCAAGGCCTCCCCAGTTCCACCTCCTGGTCTTGTCCCTCCCAGTTGCTGCACTGAGCATGTCCAAGATTCTTCAGGCTGAGCCCTATTGTTTATTCAGAATCTGTATGTGTTACTTTCCCAAGCTGAATTTAGCTTTGACTTGAATGAGTCCTGAATGTCCCTTTGTCTGCAAAACTGACAGCTGACTCTTAATTTTCCCTCCTTCCTTCTACTTGAATGAGTCCTGAACCACAATTCAAAATGATAATTAATACAGAAATTATCCTTCTAACAATCAATAATTCATATTTCAGCCAGGTATCTTCAATAATAATAATAATAACAGCAACAACCAATCTGGCTAGTGGTATACTGGAAACTCAGGGTGATTTTGTCCATTTCCTTGAAATGGCAGCAACAACCAGGGACCTGATGGAAGGGAAGCCCTGCTTAGCACTAGCTGCCTCTCCTGGGGTCTCGTGAAGCTGAGAAAAAGTGGTCGTAATACTCAAACTGTTGGAAATAGCAACTTTCTATAAACCTCCTATACTAGTTATTTGTTATGTATATAATTGAGATTACTTACTATATTGTATGTACGTAAAGGTAAAGGTTTTCCCCTGACATTAAGTCTAGTCGTGCTCGACTCTGGGGGGTGGTGCTCATCTCCATTTCTAAGCCGAAGAGCCGGTGTTGTCCATAGACACCTCCAAGATCATGTGGCTGGTATGACTGCATGGAGCACCGTTTCCTTCCCACCGGAGCGATACCTATTGATCTACAAACATTTGCATATTTTTGAACTGCTAGGTTGGCAGTTCAAAAACATATATGTATGTATGTAATAAATTGTATGTATGTATTGGTGTGTATTTTCCCTTAACTCTTATGTTGTTAGTGGTTGTGGGAGGGACTACAAACCATGTGACCCTGATCTTAGAGTGTTCAGAGTGAGATTTTATTTTTAGAATGCATTTGAATGAGAAGTCAGTTGGAGTCTGTTGAGGTTTGAGTCAGTTGGAAGTTATATATTTAATTGATCTTAAAATGTATGTGTTTTAAGATCAACTGAATATTTATCCGCCACAACCACTGTCGAGCATCTAGAAGTTTTCCCCTGACTCCGTGTTGTGACTTCTTTCTCCTTTGGGAGCTGCAGGAAGACACTGTGGAAGAATCCCAGAAGAAAACCACCATCATCTTCAGCCAGGTAGGTCATTCTCTCAGTTGTGGTGGGAGAGGAGAGAGCTAGGTTTTGCAGTCTGTTCCTTAAGAGTCATGGCGGAAGAGGTGAGCTAAAGACAAGTGTGCACCCACCAATGCTTTAGCTGATCATCTAAGAGACAAGCTGTAAGCACTTAGAAAAGCAATGCCATACTCACAAAAAGCCAACACAAATTTCTCAAAATGTGTGCCCTGCATGGGACAAGTCTTGTCAGCATAATTTACTTTATATATATAAATAAAAATGTAATGTTCGTTTGTGGAATTAATATAACTCAAAAACCACTGGACAAATTGACACCAAATTTGGACACAATACACCCATCAGGCCAACAAGTGACCATCACTCATAAAAACATTGAAAAAACAGCAAAGGGGACTTAAAAAGCCAAAAAAGCAAAAAGACACAGTGCATGCGCAAAAATGTCTCCCCTTGCAAGCAAAACACAATAGCATATCCACACTGTCTTCTGGACTACGGCTCCCAGCATCCCCTAGACCAGGCCCTGTAGGAGAGGAGGATGATCCAAATGCACTGCTTCCAAGATGCAAGCTTTCTTCTCCTTGGATTTCTTTGAGAGCACCTCTCAAATATGCATCCCTCAAATATCCCTGCATATTTCCAATTCCTAGTCTGCAACTCCCAGCAATCCTCCAGATAGATAGATTAGATAGAGATAGATAGGTAGATAGATCGATCAGGAGGACTGCTGGGAGTTGCAGTCCAAGAATAGGTAGAAAAGGAAGAAAGGGGAGAAAGAAGAAGGGAAAGAAAAGATGGGGGGATGGAAGGGAAGAAGAGAAAGAAAGAAAGACCTTTGACAAGGCTCCCCATGACATTTGCACAAAGAAGCTAATAAAATGCGGGCAAAACAATGCTACTGTTAGGAGGTTTGGGAATTGGTTGACTGGCTGAACCTAAAGGGGTGCTGACCAATGTCTCCTCCTCATCCTGGAGAAACATAACCAGTGGGGTGCCACAGGTTTCTGTCTTGGGCCCAGTGTTATTCAATATATTTATCAAAGACTTGAATGACAGAATAGAAGGCATACTTAGCATATTTGTAGATGACACCAAATTTAGTGTGTGTGTGGGGGGGGGGGGGTACCTAATACCCCAGAGTATTCAAAATGACTTTTACCAGATTAGAGAGCTGGGCCAAAACTAACAAAACAAATTTCAACAATTGCCTGGAACCTGGGGTGAATAGCAGTGGGAATTATTGCTTGAGTGAATGTGAATAGCAGGAAATGTGAGAAAATGCCTGTTTCTGCTCCCTTTCCATTCCTTGGTAATACCAGCACCTCTGACGAACTCACAGGGTCTCAGTAAGTCATCTTATACATGTATACA